CAGCAACACAGAAAGGAAAATTCTACTTAGTAAGGGTTATAATCCCTAAGCGCGGCCGAAGAAGTTCTGCGCAAATATACTTCCGACCGCCTTTTCCGGCAACACAAAGGATAATTCTACTTAGTATGGGTTATAATCCCTAAGCGCGGCCATTAGACATTATTTCGGTTTCAACCGAAACTGTGCATGTATGCTTTATTTCGGTTTTTGCCATATGCATTATTTCGGTTTTCAACCGAAACTGTGCATGTATGCCAGAGATTGGCAAGCGATGCTGTTTTTGTGACTTTAAGCCTACTCACATTAAAAACGGGGCATGAACGAACACCAGCGCATAGCGTGCAGTGCTTGCAAATACAGCCACCAAAGTGACCGATACTTATAACAGCTCATACTGATCAGTGTTGCCAATTTAACCGTTTTCCGGCTAGATTTAGCCGGTTGCGATAGCAAACAGCCGGATAAAATTCGATTTAGCCGGCAGCCGATTTGTTAGCCGTTTTGCAAAAAAAAAGTTAGCCGTTTTTAGCCGATTTGGCTATTTGCCATATTTTATTAAAATTCAAATATATATGTTTCTATACAAATTTGTTTACAAATATGGCGACCCAAAATCTATGAGAAACTGCTAGCCTTATCTCGGAGAAAATTTTCATGTCGGACTGTGTTAAGTATATAAAATTGAAAGAATTTTCTCTAATCCGAAAAGTCTTAAAGTACTGGGCGGATTTCAATGATTTATATTTTATGTGAATATGTGACATTTTAGCTTATTAATTTTTTTGAATGAAAGTATAGCTGATTGCTTAGAAACACCATTTAAATCCAAATTTCATATTTTATGCAAAAATTATAAAAATTCTGCATTTTTTTTATTTAAAATGTTAGTTTAGTTAAGTGCAAATTTAAGGTAGTTGGCACTCACCGTTTATTTTTTGAAATTTTTTGTTGGCGGTTCCGCATTTTTTTCCATATAAAAAAATGTTAGAACATACTTTGTATGGAAAAAATTCGTAACACCGTTATAAAAAAATTACTAAAATCAAGGGTAAGTCCTAGCTACTTAAACTTTTAATGGACTACAAAACTGCATACATACACGGTTAAAAATTTGGGTTTATTTTTTAAACCTAGTTGGGTTTGCTGCATTTTTTAAACTTTCTTAGTCTACTTTTTAAACTAGTTAATAGTTTTAAGTAATTTTTAATAAATTCTGGTTTAAATTTTAGTCCACGAGGCAGAGAAACCGATGTGGTTTAAAATTAAAACCAAAAAGTTTCACTTGTAGCATGAAAAGTTTAAAATTTAAACCTATTAACCTAGAAAAGAGAGAAATAAACTTATTTAATTGAGCGATGGGCGAATATATTCATTTAGATATGCATACATATATGTCTGCACTGTTGAAACAGCTGATAAGGTGACCAAATGCTTATTTTTTCGATTGCTGTGTGTTGAATGTTCATGAAGTTAGCCTGAGAAGCAGTAAAAAGATGTCTGGTAAGCTTACATGTACAAATGTGTATGTCTCATTTCGTAGAAAAATGGAACGCGATGAAGATATTCTTATTGTTGAAATTAAATGTGCTGAAAAATACGAGTTAGTTTCATTTGCAAAAAGCAAATTACGCGTAAAAAGCTATATAATAATTCTTAAATAAACTTGCAATTACATCTGTAGTCTATTGCAGTGGCAAAATCTTTCGCCATTGAAAGTGAAAGAATCTCGTTTCGCAGTGCTCGTGGCAGCAAAGTTCTAGAAGAACGTTTGGCAAGTTTTATTTTGCAATACAGCGCAGCGCCTGTGCATGTTTCTTACTGGAAGTTTCAGATCCTCAATCAGGCAAAAAACCCCCTTTAAAAAGATTTGGCGATGAAAGCCTAAAAATCAGCAGTCAGGTGAATATATAATATTAATAAAAATAAAATACAATGTGATTATAGTGACATATGTATGTACATATATTCGCGTACGTTTTTGTCAAAGCTTTTGAAACAGCATCTCGAAAACAACGAGTGCCATCATTTATTGAAAGAGTATGCCGAAAAGAAAAGCCTTTCAGACGGATTGCGTCGAGTTCTCGTAAATGAGGCTGTTACTCTCCTGAGGGCTGAATGCTCGAACTACCCTACCAAGAATGAGCAAAATGCGATGGCTTTGGCTATAACAAGCCTTTTCCCTAACCTCAAATCAGACACAGGACAGAATATTTTCTTTGATGCGGCAACTAATACAGGGTAAAAAGTTACCTCCACTTTTAAATTGTCTAA